AAATGGCCTTCAACAACATAATTAAGACGCAGTTGACCAGTGCAGGTCCAAACATAGCTTAGTAACCAGAACTAGACACAGCAGGCTAGTTGAGGTTTGGATTTCTTTTCTCAACTTGCTGGATTTTTGTAAATCAGTTTCTCACCACAACAAAAATTTTACTTTGTGTTTGTCTGCTAATGTAAACTGCAGATGTTGTTGTTGTTGTTGTCTAATTGATTAACTTACTACCTACAGTTGCAACAAAGCATTACTTCCAACGCCAAGAAGCACATCATCAACTGACTACATATGTTTGTAGGGTCACAAGTTATGTCATAAAAAGCCTTCACGGCTAGCACACCTACTGAAGTATGTCTTCGTTGTGGTGAAGATGGTCCTGGATGCTATGAGAGTTTAGGATAACGTTAGCAGATAAGTAAGGTAGATAAGCAGTTCAACAAGTTTATGTTAGAGTTAAATAATAGTCTGTCTTAATCATGGATCAAATAGCTGTTGAGGATGCTGATTGTCTGCTTGAGACATTTAACTTTAGCCTCAATATTTTACCATTTTTTACCATTATCTCATGTCAGCTGGAAACATTAGCTAGCTACTACAGCAGATAAAATGTGTTAGCAACTGATGTAATTTCAGCCGGCAAAATCAACCACCAGTTAGAGATGGGAAACTTCTAATGTCTACCGGACATCAAGGACACATTAAAATATTAATTGTAATCTGCATCATATCATGTAAGGATGAAAAGATAGACAAGTACAGCAACAGTAACTTGTGGGGACCGGGCCTAGCAAATGGTCAGTTGAACATCCATTCTCGTATACACAAGGCTTATGCGGCCCTTAAAACTTAGCCCCAGTTATCTCTGAGCAGTGGTCCCATCCTGCCTCCTCTCAGTCCCTGCAGACCCTCACAGGTTAATCACTGGCTCTCCAGGGTCCAGATGGCTGAGCCAGGGACAGATTTTTAATTACCACGCTCTGATTTCACACCCTGGGCATCACAGAGGACAGAACACTCCCTGCCAAGCCGCCTTAATTTCTCTCTTTGGATGGTGTAAAGGAAAAAAAGACAGGATAATAAGGTGTGCACTACAGAAAGAAAAAGGCGGAGGGAGAGCCGAGCCGAGAGTCAGCGTGTGTGGGAGTACGTGAGAGATCGTCACTCTCGACAGGCCAGGAATTATATTTTCCTCACCAGGATGTTTCCTGCGGCGCTTAATCACCCTTTAAGTCAGCGACACCCAGAGTCGAGCAGCAGCTATAATCACATCTGTGGATGGCCTCGTCACGAACACAGACCCCCCGAAAAACCCCGGAGGATGGGGTTCAAAACAGCTCCAAATGGCAGGGGAAGGATGGCGGAGGGGGTCAGATTGATTCGGTGGTGTTAGCAGCAGGACGGACCATGCTGGGGGTGTTTCAGTCCCATCAATGAACACCTGTTGGCAACAGAGGGAGGGATGGGAAGCAGAAGGCTGGAACACAGGAGAAAAATGGATCACCAGTCACATCCCATAATGCATCTTTCTTTTTTTCCCCTCAGTGCGGTTCACTTCAAGATCTTTCACCAGCATAAAGTAGAGAACAATATTGCAAAGCATTAACATAAAAAAGTGCTTGCTTTCTTTGTTTTAACTCTCTCTCTCTCATCCCCTGATCTTGCTGCTGATCTTACTGTAACATAAATATGATGACACAAACAGTCCGTAAGGAAAATCAAATTGAGCAACTTCTTTTTCTTTTTTAGGAACTGTCGACTTTCTTGACTATTTACAGCATACAATAAACTGATCTAAGACTAGAGAAAAAACAGTGAAAGATGCAAGGCTGCAGTCAGGACTTGGATTTGATATCACACTGACACTTCAGTTTATGACTTTTCAAATGTCATAATACAAATCCTCACTTTTCTACAGTGAAATGTGAAAACGGCAAAGAACTAAGGACCGCTGATTTAATTTGAATAGCTATAAGTTTTTATGGATCACAGGACTACCTCTATGGGAAAGGTGTTGCTCGTAGTGATGATCCCACAAATAATCACCTGACTCTGCAGTTCCCCTTAGCTCAGTGGAGTGTCTTAGTGTCTTTCAGCTCACTTTTTTGGTTTTACAGCTCACAGCATTACTGTTTTGGTTCAATAATTTCTGTTAACTACCTGCCCAATATCAAACGGCATACAGACAAAGTTAGCAACTAGTCAATGACCATTAAGTAACACTTAGTAGCTAAAGAGACAAATATTTTCCTGAGGGGTTGGATGGAGACTAAAAACAGAGCTATGAGGAGAGTGCATATTGGATTAACATTCCTCAGGTGGCTGTAAACAACTCTCCAAATGATTGATAATGTTATTTTGTGTCTGTGCGGTGTGTACCTAGGCAACCGTTTGCTATCAAGTATGCCACGTGAACTTGAAGACATTGTCTCCACTGCCCCCAAGTGGCCATAAAACCAGTAAATGCACATTTAACCTCAAAAAACATCTTTGCCTGATTAATCATGGATTTTCAAATGCATGCTCTACACGTTCAGACTTTTAGATGTAGCTGGCAGCCATTGTTTTCCACTATTTTCTGTACAACATAACATCCATTAGGAAACTTTTGGAACTTGCCTGAGTTGTGTGATCCATCACAGTAAAAATTTTTGCGCTATAATTGCATCTTGATCAATGCAGATTGATTTAAACAATGCGCTGCATTATCTCCTAATGATAGTGTGCCTTTGATAAAAATGAATGCAAACTTGCTGTTCAAAGAGATGGATTACTCAGCTCAAGCAAGTTTCATGAGTGCACTAATGGATTTTTATAATGTATGGAAATGAATGGAAACCAATGGATGCCAGCAATGGTAGACAAAGTACATCTACATTTCAAAAACACTGCATCATTGTCTGCAAAATTATCAACTGTAATGTTGGATAGATACTAAATGGGGCTGAAATGGTTCTTTAAACATTCAGCACAAACTGAACACAAATTCAGTGGAAGCACAGACTCTGCAAATGATAAAATCTTTGCCTTAACTTTCATATCCCCACCACTTCCAAACCGGCAGCACTCAACAGACAATTACATTTTTCCTGAGAAACTCCCTAATGTAAATGTGAGTCTGATGACAGATGAGCCGGATGTGTGAGACTGAGCACACACTCAGAGCAAATAAAACTTGCTCACAAGTTACAGGTAACGTGACTGTGGCTGTTTGTCATCTTCCCTGCCCTCAGCAATAATGGTGTTTCGTTGTAATTGAGTCATACATAGTTTTACATATTTTCTGTATAAAAGACTCCAGAAACAGTGTCGGTTTGGTAAAATGTAAAAGAACTGACACAGAAATATGTGACCGAAAAAAGAAGATTGTCCTTTTCCATTTGGAATGGGAAACATTTAATATTGTGTAGATGATTGATTAAAAAATGATATTATTTTCTTTTAAATCTAACTTTTTGCCATTTTAGACAGGCAAAGTTCTACTGTAGTTAGTTGTTTTTAGTTAGTCATTAAGAAAATATCATATTTAAGACAGTAGATAGTAGATCTTTTCTAGTGAAAAACGGCAAGACAATCTTGCCACACACTGAAGCACTCCAGCGAATACTTTAAGAATCACTGCGCTGATTAAATTATTGTACGTCTTGCATAACACAGTGTAACTGTGTAGATTAATGGCTCCAGTGAATCAGGACTGGTGACAGTGCACTGCAGTAAGAGCTCCTGCTCTCTCTTTTATTTGTTTTTTAAACTCTAAGCAGTTTCAGTGTCTCCAGAATACTCCGGCGCAGGGCTTTGGCCGCTGTTGGCAAGGTTTTGTTAATGGATGCCTCACTGTAACGTTGCTTTAATGTTGTGTGCTGCCATGATTTACGATGGGTGGAATTCCCTTCCTCTGCAGATCTGCTCATGCAGGGTAATTGGCCCATTTATCAGAAGCAGCAGAAAACCGAGCTGCAGAGTCACAGATGCATTAAGAACAAATCTGTTGGACCAGAGAAAGAGAGACGGAGGAGCAAATAGAAAGAAAGAAGAAGAGGAGAGGTGAAGAGGTCAGCACGGACAGAAGCTCAACTTGAAGCAATAGTTTTTTTGGGAAATACATGTATTCACTTTCTTGCCAAGAGCTGAGAAGATTGACACTGCTCTTGTGTGTTCATTCGCTCACACACACAACACATAATCTAATTTGTTTAATCCATACAAAAAACAAAGTGTAAATATGGCAAGTTTTGGTTTCATGGGTGGTTATGTGACGGACTATTTCCTGGCCAAGAGCAGTGACTTCCTTAAATAGTGTAGCACATAGACTAGTCTTTATGCTAAGCTAAGCTAATCAGCTGCTGGCTGTAACTTCATATTTAGTGGACAGACATGAGAATGAAATTGATCTTCTCATGAAACTCAAATAAGCATATCTGCCAAAATCTACTATTATAATTTCACAACTAAGACCTAATTAAATATTTTTAGTTCTAACTATTACCAATAACTAAAAATAAAGTCATTTGTCCTGGGCCAAAAAACACAGCTTGTTTTTTTACTTTGCTTTTTGTATGATTTTAGAGATGCTGTTGTTACCTTTGGACAGAGCTAGGGTAGCTGTTTCTCCCTCCTTCCAGTCTTTGTGTTGACTGTAAAGACATAAGAGTGATATCAATCTTCATATAAAACTTTTTTTTTAAGTTAATTTCCCAAAAATGTTGCACTATTCCGTTAAACCCATTAATTAATTTGCTCCCTTGGTTCCTTTTGTACTTTGTTGTTGTGTTTCTTCATCAGTCTAAGAACGAATTGTGACATTCTGACACAGTGATCAGAAGACAGAGGCTACACGCACACACACATGCACACACACACGCACGCACGCACACACACACATAAGCCTCGGTGTAATTTATCTGGAATGCAGAAATGAAAGTGCACAGAGCTTCTGCCTCTGATCAGCCTCTAAATGTCACTGTCTTCTACTCTCTTTATCTCTTTCTCTCCGTCTGCAGAGAGCGCGGCGGACACAAACTGCTGACTGAACTGCAGGCAGACACTGGGGCAGAGTGCGGAGGAGTAAGCAGACAAGGTAAGTCAAGACAAGAGAAAAAGGCAATGCAGCATGCGAATATCAGCCAGTTTCATAATATTACAGCATGAGAGGTCAGTTTTTGAATTAATGGCGACAGTTTCCGCAAAGTTGTCAACAGCTGACACAGTGAAGGCCGTGTCCATCTGAATGCATTATTTATCTGCGCCTGTTGAGATGTCACAGTTATCAGCATGTTGACACCATGTGCAACATCTCAGGATGGTATTTTGAGCAGCTGAGAGATAGGACGGAAGGAAGGAAGTACAAGAGGTTTTATGATAACAGAGGTGAGCTGCAGTAAAATTCTGTGCTGAAAGAAATGGAAAACCATCTTCTAAAGCTAAAACTACAGGCAACTGTACACTGATTATCATTCAATTTAAACCCTTTTAGTTGCCTTCCAGGTACCAGCTATGCGCCACCCCTACCCCTCCCTCTCTACATATGAAAATGTCAGGGTGGCATTTTCACACGCTCCACCGACAATAAACAGGAGCGTCGATGTAGTGACAGCTCTGCTAAATAGCTTATCTTTACACATTTAGCTTTTTTAAAACATATTTTTGCACATCCAAGTTTGTATTTGTTTTTAAAATATAATTGAACTGAAACACAAATAGCACTGCTCCTGGCCAAGAAATAATCCAGCACATCACCTCCCGTACCACTGTCATTCAGACACAACAGAAATTTGAAAAGCACCTACTTTCATGTCAGTTTTCAGGGGGTTTTAGCCACACGGGCAGCGTCTCCAGGGATGTAAGCGTGCTAACATGCAAAACTAAGATGGTGAGCATGATAAACATAATACCTGCTAAACATCATCGTATTAGTATCAACATTGTGAGCATGTTAGTATGCTGACATTAGCATTTAGCTCAAAGCAAAGTCACTAGCATAGCTGTGGACTCTTTCACTTTCAGCAGTGTCTTGAACTTATTTTATTATTAGTATTTTGATTATGAATCTTTGATTTTTTTTAGCTGACATGATAAACTATTTTATGTAGTAGATGATCTCTCCAATGACAGGATAGGTAACGAATGTGATGAGTGTTTCTCTCCTTCTTATTCAAGACCCTTAAGGACGTGTGTCCATATAGCGTTTTTTATTTTTATTTTTATTTTTTTTCCTGGCAGAAAAGCGGTGGCAGGGCACTTTCTTTTATGATGTTTACCTATATATACTTATATATTTCCATCATGTTTCCCTGTCAGCTTCACACAAACTAGGCTATTGTCTCAGTGGCTGATTATTTTCTGTAAAAACTAAAGACCTACTTTTTCATAGACATCCCAGAAACCTTAAAGCGTGACATCTCTCCCTATCAATAGTCTGGTGATACGCTGGCCTGTTTTGACATCTCCCCTGAGTGTTGAAACAATATTCTGGCCTCAATATGAAACACGACTAATTTCTACTCAGAGTTGTCAATCATGCCCTTGTAGTAAGTCTCTGGCCTATTTTTATTTTGGTGAGGGACAAAACTGAGGTTTTCATTCAAGAATCACAAGATATTTGTGCAAAATTCTCCTCAAAGTTGTTTAAATTACATAATTTTAAACCTAAAACATAACATAAAATGCACTGTCTGCTCTGTCTGCTGGAAAGTTGGCATATGGCTTCCACACAGGGAACCCAGATTATTGTTTTTTTAACCCCACAAACATCAATACGCTGAACCCAGGAGCCTGTTGTGAGGAAATAATCCAAAAATCCCTACAGTTGGTGTAAACAAGATCTGTGTGTCCTTTCTTTGGTCTCTTTCTTTAGTATTTCCTCTGCTGTTGAAAGCAATACAAAAGAAATAGTAGAGAAATAATTTTCTCAGTAACATTTGGCCACTTGATTTTGTTGTAAAACTGTGTTACCTTACTTCATTCATAAGAAGAGGAATCCAACATTTAATTCCTTCAAGAACTGATCTCAATAACAACACAATGGATATTTTGACAACTACCTCAGCTTGAATTAAAGCACTATAACCGTAAAAGGTGAAGCACTCCTCAGAGTTAGAACAGCCAGGATCCCTCAGCTGCACTGACTATAAAACCTGATGTTTATACTGCACTGTTAATACTGCACAGTCTGCTGCAGGTTGAGCTCGTAAATCCTCTTCAGATTGTCATTTGGTTTTGCACTGACATCGGTTCGAGATATTCCAGCTCAGTTCGGAGGATGTTTCAGCCTCTAAAAATATGGGAATCAAGTAAATACTGTAAATTTTCACTTAAACGTCTGTCTTAAAATGGCAAAGAGTAATATACAAGTCTATCTACCCTCATACTCTGTGTAAAAACACTCTACATTACTTCAGTGTAACGTGGACAAATCCTTTACTGTAAACACTGACAACCTCAAACCTGAAGTCCTGAAGCTCTTTTGCTGCTTTTCTCTCTTATGTTGAATGTTGTTGTGTTTAAGACATATAATCATTTGAAGACAACACATTAGGTCATTTTGATTTTCTTACCTTTATAGATTTTTAAAAAAATGAATTGATTAATTTAAAAAAAAACAAAAACATCAAATAACTGCTTTATAATGAAACATGCATTGCGGGCTCGGGTCAGTGTGACAGCAGAGATTCCTGCAGCAGTTTACCGGCCTGATGAGCAGGTGTGCCTCCGTGGAGCATCAATATTCATGCTCAGCTCCTGCACCTCGCTGAGATCAGCCTCAACCCCACACTGAGTCGTACCACAGAGCATACAGACGGATGACGGATGGGGGGGGGGGGGCAGGGAGGATTGATCACACACCAAGGATGATGCTGTTTGAGAACGCCCGCAGCTTGATCCATTTAATCAAAGAGGTTATAAAAGGCAGAGGAGCAACTGAGGACATGACACTAAAACTGTACCAAAATAGTCAGGTGACAAACGTAAGGAAAAGCAGACGCTTCTCTACAAGGAACAAGGCCTCACTGAATGAATATGAAAATGAAGTGAATTGTATGTCGCCACATCTCAACCCAACTGAAAGCTTTTGGGAGCTTTTGGAGTGAAGTGTCAGACAATCATTAAAACTGTGACTTTGGACAAACCAACCAGAACCACTGCCAGCTTCAAATGTTTGAACCTTAAAGCTGCTCTAATCAAATATATGTTACTCATACTGACCAATCAAGAGAGAATATCATCCGACTCTCTAGTTTCCCTCAGCTTTATGCAGCGTTTTAGCATCTTTCAGCTCTTTGTTTTGGTTTTCAGGCCTGCAGCTGTTTCAGTTCACAGTGCCATTTCTCATCAGCATAATTCAGCAACAGGCAGCGGTTTGCAGAAAGAAAAAAAAATCACATAAGCCCACTGCTTGCTACTTGCGCAGCACCAAATAGCTGACATGCAAACTTTGCAGCTTTACCAAACACTTTCTCCTGAAGATGCAGTATTTAATTTGCTTCCCAAAGTGGTCCTGATGTTTTCTTTAGCAGCGTTCACAGTTTATTTGTGTTTATTTATTTTGATAATGTGATTATGTTTTGTCCATTGTGAAAGCATTAATCAGCCAGCCCAGTTAGAATTAGTGTACAGTTTGTCATTGGGACTATTTTTGTCCCAAACTGACAAGAGCCTTCACTGCCACCTCAATGGCTCCATCAAAACTAATCCTTAGAATAAACTGGGACTTAATGAGTCGTTCGCTGGTAAAGATTTTGCGAGCCAACAACAAATCATGGTTCAACTTGGAGTGAAAGTTAAAACCTTCTTTCAAAATAATAATAAAAAAACAGTGCTATTTTTTTTAATGGATACTCTGAAGTTGACTTACTGGTTCTCAAACGTGTCAGATAAAGCATTGGGCTTTCTTTACATCTGCCGCCCAAGAGGTGACCTGACTAACAACCAAACAAACTACATCAGTCCATTGATTTATCGCCGTTCTCATGAGGCAGAGCACTGACACTGTGCCCTTGTGTGCCCTTGTGAAACCACCACAATCAGTACAAAATGAGTTTTCATCTCTGAAACCAGTAACGTTACTTATCCGTTTATCTACTGTAAATATAGTGCTGGACAAAGCGCTGCCCCCTCACTCTCCTCCCACCTTCTCTGCCTCCCCCTCACTGTCATGGGCTGCCTAGCAACTGACACCATAAATAATATGCCTGTGTCTGTGGTCTGTGTGTGTGTGTTCACAGGCATGTGATAATAAACAGGGTATCTCTTACCAGCACTCCTCTTTGCGTGCCTGCTATATTATAGTGCTCGTCTTCATCAGTGACACACTGTGGGTGAACTACAATGTTTGGGATGTTTAAATCTCTCGCTCCTCTCTGCAGACAGAGCACAGGAGACCTGACTGATAGTGCCCATGGCGAGCAATAACACAGCCAGCATTGCACAAGCCAGGAAGCTGGTGGAGCAGCTGAAGATGGAGGCCAACATTGACAGGATAAAGGTGAGTTGACACGTTCATTTATTTATTAATTTATTTTTCTTGCACCATCCAGGAAGCCCTTGGTTTCCCTCCATGCAAATTTTAGATTACAATCAATTTGCATAGAGTATAAACTTTACTCCAACACAGCAGGTAATCCATAACGATCAATACTTTGTCAAACTTATATTACTATTACATAATGAAGGTGGAAGCATGTCTCGTTTTAAATATATTTGCTTGTGTTGTGGTGCTTGCAGGAAGCGCCAAAAGTTTTCTACATTTTTCACAGCAGATATTTTCATGTGATTGCAGCAAAGCGCTCTTACAACATTAATTACATCAACAGTGCAGTATATGTGTTACCCAAGACCAAGGTAATGTGCATTCTCACTCACTGGAGTGTCTTATTGGGACACTTGTTGGAACTGAGCCATTGTTAACGTTATTAATAACATCTGTACTTTCCCTGTTAGGAGAAGTCAGAACATCTGATGTGAAGGAAAGTAGTTTGAGGCTTGAAAATCGTCTGAAAAGAGCAAATTTAGAAAGTAAAAGCTGTTTTGGTTCATTTCTCACGTTACATATCTTAATGCTTACCTTTTAATGCTAACCTTGTTTGTGTTTGTCAGTATTAATAAAGTAAAAGTACGCTATTTGCAGTAAAGGAGCTCAGTCTGAGTTCCAGATTTCTGAATCACTGACCATATTTCTGATTTGTTGAGTAATTTAATGTGATTACATGGTTAATGACGTGACGTATGGTCCTTAAAAGCAGCACTGAGGCCCCAAATTACAACAAGACATTACTGAGAAGTCTGAGCTTACTCAAGAAATCATTGATGTCACTTTGGTGATTTACTTTACACAAGATTAAAATGAAAATGATTTGTTAATACAGCTTTATGTACTTGTTAATACCTGGTGCTAACTCTGCTCAAAGTTTTTTTTTAAAATCCACCTACCAGCTCCTTTAAAGCTCACGAAAAAACACTTTTTATTTTGTTTGTTTGTGGATCTGTTTCCGCCTGTTTCTAGTCTCTATGCTAAGCTAAGCTAACCTGCTGCTGGTTGTAGCTTCTTATTTTCCGTACAGACACGAGAGTGGTATCAATCTTCTCATCAAACTCAAACAAATAAATATATTTCCCAAGGTACTGTCCGTTAATGTCAGTGTATATTGACCTGTGTATATATATATATAAATATATATATATGTGTGTATGTGTGTGTTTTTTAAATCCAGGTGTCAAAAGCAGCGGCAGACTTAATGTCATACTGCGAAGCCCATGCCAAAGAGGACCCTCTGTTATCGCCGGTGCCAGCGTCAGAGAACCCGTTCAGGGAGAAGAAGTTCTTCTGTGCCATCCTGTAAACCCGGCAATGCCCTTCAGCAGTCTGCTCAGTGTGGGACTTTGAACGCGGACGTTCAAAATACGTAGAAATCTTCTAGTAGGAGGGCACAGTGATTATTGCCCCCTTTGTCGAACGGCACCTAAAGAGTGCAAAAATTAAAACCACAGAGTTAACATGTAACCATTAAAGGGGTTGTGATTGCTTTGTTGAGGGGTGTTGCAGCATGTTGAAGGGGTCTCTGCTTTTAGATGACACAAAAGGGATGATGATGACGAGGAGGAGGAGGAGGAGGAGGAGTATGATGATAACCCAGAGACGTGATGGACAACCAGTCAACCTAACAAGTATTCAGGTTGTGATGTGTACAAAACAAAAAATAGATAAAATGAGAATAAAAATATTTTGTGGTTCTTTTGGGACTTCCAAATGTTCTGTTAAATGGTTTGTGGGTGGATCGAGCTGCGTAGGACAGGAAACAAAAATACACCTTCCACTAGACACCACCTGATTATTGGAATGTTTTTTTTAAGTTGTTTATTTTATGTTTATTTGAACTTTACCTATCACCTAGATATCTTTCTATACCTGTACGTGATTACTGAAACTGCTCTGTTAACTTTTTTTTTTTTTTTTTTTTTTTTACACCAACAGGTTATTGAGAGCTTTTTTAATGGGATGTTTGAAACATTCAATTCTGTGATTCTCTTTACAAATACCTTTCTGAAAATCAGTCTCTGTGTATCAACATCTATCTGGCAAATGTGATACAGTTTGTCTCCTTCAGATACAAACCCTCTTTCTACTCTTTGTATAAAATGACTAGCAAGTAAACTGTGCTGTGCTGTGAGTTCTGAACGTTTGTGTTTGTATCATTAACTATTGCATGAAATGGACAAACGGTCATCTCTCTTTCCTTTCGTGTGAAGATTGTATGAAACAGGGGCAGCCTCCATATGGAAGTGCCAAAAAAAATATTAAAACAAAAATGATTCAATGTGGACTCAACAAGGAACATCTCTCAAATATAAATAACACTGGTGACGGTTTTAAGCTTTGCATTGCAGGCTGGGAAAACACAGGTGCTGCAGCGCTTTCACAATCTTGAGATACTATTTAGATGATTCACTACTGAAGATTGTTGGTTTGGGATTAAGATATTGCATTAAATCTCTTTAAATTTAGGGAAAAAACATTTTGTATGTAAATGTATGACAGTGTCATAAATATTCTATATCTAAGTGAAGCTGTATGAGGCTCAGGCTAAAAGAAATATAAAAACTTAGGACACATGTTTTCATGGTTGCATCGTTGCAAATGGAAATATAATTAGATATAAGATTCCTTGTAATTCACCCTGACATCCAGTTTTTGGCATCTTTCACAACTCTAGAGTTTCAAATAAAGTTTTCTGGCTTAGATTAGTGCTTAGTTGCACAATAGAAGTTTGTGAAAATGGATGGAGCAGAGAGCCTGGCAGTTAGAGAGGTTAAATCACTGACTGTACAGAACTGTTTTTTCTCTTCAGAGTGAGCATGGCTGTTCTGCTGCAGGAGACAATGCGCCCCCTACAGGTATTTCATCAAAATAAAGGCAAAAATGTCAAAAGAATTACCTAAAAAGAGCGCAGATAATAATATTGTTAATGTTGAGACATTAGACTCAGTGTCATAATTTAGAAAAGACGTTTATTCAGGAAGAATTAATAAAGAATCATGATAACATACACAATACAAAGCAGGAGAAGCAGCAGGTTAATTTGAAAGTATTTAATCTTTTGCTTGCAGTCAGGTGTAAATGGTTACAGCTGAGTGGTTATATTTTTACAAATTAAATAAAGTACACACAGGTCAAATTGTTAAATAATCTAATCAAATAATCTTATAAAGCAAAAATAAATTCTAAACCAAGAACACTACATCAATACATTTTCACTCTAAAAATATAACCATGTGAGAACAAACAAAGATGTACTACTTAACAACAAAATAAACATGACGAGCAAAATATAAAGATTTAGAAAATATGACAATGGTATTTTTTACATTAAACTACCCTACAGTATATGAAAGAAGAGCGGAAATAATTTTTCTATTTCCACTAGTCACTTTTCATGCATTTCATGCCAAAAATAATTCACATATTGTTTGTTGTTTGGTTGGGTGGCTGAAGTTTTCTGTTATGGATTAATCAGACTGGCTGCGGTGGCTAGGCTAATGTCAGACTATGTTAGCTCAGGGTCAGAATCAGAATGAGAATAAAAAAAATGACTTTACTTTCATTTCAAAAGCATTGCACATAACCCAACAACAGAACGATGGAGAGAAACGAAAACCTTTTCTGACAGTGGCCTAGTACTTTCAAGCGGCGCGTGCTGTGGGGGAAACTGTATATAACATGTACCGATAGAGATCCGCATGTACCGCTACAGCCACTTTTCGACTTCGGCAGCGTCAGTATGGAAAAAAAAAAAAAAAAAAGTTATTGTCAGAAGTGGGATTCGAACCCACGCCTCCAGAGGAGACTGCGACCTGAACGCAGCGCCTTAGACCGCTCGGCCATCCTGACATGTATCTTCACGGTGCCCTCGGATTTTATAAAATTCGCTATTAAATTCTGCCATATATTTTGTCAAATTGTAGTTTAATGTCTGTTTTATGGTCGTATAGTAACATAGTAAAGAACTTCTACGGTCCAAATGGCGATGGAGCCGTTAAAACACAGATTCTTTCTAATGAATATATATATCAAATATATGAAATGATAACTGCTGCTGGTCTCATTATCTCACTTAGCCTTTCACACTGAGTTACAGTGACAGCTGTTTTCCACGCCGTTGAACCGGCCGGTAAGCTTAACTACTGCACTACCCCACCTAGCATTGCAACAGACTTCAGATATCCTCGGTTGTATAATGTACTTGTAGCTACTGTTACTGTAGGGAGCGGACGGAAGGTTTGTCTCAGTTAACTTGGCGAATTAGCTCGATGGTTAGCTAGATAGCACCAGCTCGACAAGTAGCAGAACACTAACTCTTCACAAAGAAAACCCGCAAGTAACTTTGCAGGTGGTTTGCGGGAGAGACAGAGCTTTGAAACAAACTTGTTACTGTCTGACTATTGATTAATAGCGAATGTCTTCGCTTTAGCAACGAGTTGGTATGTATATGACACTAGCTGTTAGCTAGTTAGCTGTAAGCGGCTGTGAAATAGTTTCTTGACACAGTAGCTAAACTACATGCTAAGCTCTTGTCTTGTTCTTCTGATCTTTCTGTAAAACTAGGTGGAGTCTGGTGGGTGTATTTCCACATCAGGTCTGTGTCTTATTCTGTTTAAACATGTACTATTAAACTAATCCCTCAGTAAGACACTGAACTATCTGGACTAGCCAGTATGCTAATGTCGGCTAGGCAAATAGCTGTTTTAAAGTGTCCCACTCCTGTTGTTTACTTTGTGTGCTTTCTCACAGGCTCGACAACCGCTTCACCCGAATCAGTCAACTTGTTGAAAAGGTAATATTTGCTGAAATACTTGCTTCTACTTGCCAAAAGCCAGGTAAAAAATATTTGCAGCATGTCTCACCGGGCCACTCTTGTATTAACGTGCATAACAATAGTACTATGTTAAAGGACTTATCCCTCATTTTTAAATCCGAGAGAGTGTTTGATGCATACTTTCATTGCAAGTTTTCACTGTTTATTAAGTGGTTTAATAAAGCACATCAGTGGTGCATGCAAATAAACTTGACATGACTCTGTCTGTCTCTCCTCAGTTTTACAATCATGACATCGACCCCTCCACACAATTTCTCCTGGGTCGAGCCAGGCAAACTGGCCGGACTGGCACTGCCAAGGATGACATCTGAATACCAGTACCTGCTGGACAACGGTATCAAACACCTGGTTTGCCTGTGTGAGAGAAAACCACCTTACCATGACTCGTGCCCGGAGTTACAGCTGCACCACATCAAGATAACTGACTTCACTCCTCCTTCACCGAGTCAGATCGATAGATTCCTCTCTGTCGTGGAAGAGGCCAACTCCAAGGGGGAGGTAAGATCTCGGACACTTGATAGATTGTGATGTGATGGATGGTTATGCTTCCATCCATAAGTACTTAAAGGACTCTCCAGGGTCAAGTATAGTATCGTACGCTGGCTCACAAGCTACAGTTCTGTAACTTTAAACATTTGGCATCGAGCTTAGTTGAGCCCATGAGATAGTGGAAGGGAAAAACTGCCTTTCACAACCTTGCAGTTTCTCCAAAGAGCATGAATCAAAAAGGAAAAAGGTTGTAACAGTCTTTGTCAGTGTATAGAATTGCACACCATGTTGGCCTGCAGGTTGGCCGCAGACCCCGGGGTTGGCGGTTCGATCCCCAGCTCCCCCGAGCTCAGGTTGCGTCCGGTGTTAACGCTGTGCCAAGGAAAATAGTTTTGATCGAAACTCACGAACAAGAGAAAGCAGTGGTGCAGTTTTATCAGCACACCACGTAACATTTACAGGGGGAATAAAGTAACACTTTTGCATCGGTTAGGAAGCAGATGTAGCAGTGATTATTTATAGTTAATAAGTACAAAAACAATGGGGAGAAGTGCCTCATTTATACTCCTAAATTAATAATTTATAATGTAGGAATAAGAAAATATTTAAAAAAAAAACCTACGCTGAATCAAATCGCTGAATCAAATATATGTAACTACTTGATCTAAATTGTTGGCATTTAATTTCCTTGCTGATGGACTGATCATTCAACTGTTTCAGCTTGTAAAAATAAAGTGCAATTTCCTGTCTCGTAACAGAAACTAATGCAGGGTGTGTGCATGGTTACAGCTGATTAACCAAAGTAAATATTGTATTGTTCCTTTTCAGGGTGTAGCAGTGCACTGCATGCATGGCCATGGGAGAACTGGGACCATGCTGGCCTGCTACCTGGTGAAGACGAGGAAGATTTCAGGCATCGACGCCATCAATGAGATCCGCAGACTGAGGCGAGGCTCAATCGAAACTCATGAACAAGAGAAAGCAGTGGTGCAGTTTTATCAGCGCACCAAGTAACTTTAAAGTAACACGTTTGCATCTGTTAGGAAGCAGATGTAGCCATGATTATTACAGTTAATAAGTACAAAATGATGGGAAGAGGTACCTCAGTTATTTCCCTAAATTAATACTTTATTATGTAGGAATAAGAAAATACAAATCAGATCAAAACACTGAAAGTCCCAGACAACAACAATGAACTCAAATGTTGAAATTACCATATGCCCTTGTGACATTTAACTAAGACAAACATTTCTGCAGTTAATACATACACACGCTGCCTTTTTAAATGGTACTATATACTGTTTAGCTAGCACATTATTACTTTTCTTTATATAGACATGGTCTTCTTCTGAGGTTTCTGTTTACACAGCTTCAACCCTCATTTACGCACTGGACGCCAGGGAAAAGAGACGCTGACGCTCCTTGAATGTGAGCTTTTCAGGAGCCGTTGGTCTCTTGATTTTCTCCTCCTGGTTTCTGCAAGTAAACAATGATATGAGAAGAAATACTTGAATTTTATTACTTATATGGGACACAAACAGCACATAGTGTCATCTGCAGATTTATTTTACTCAGGGATTTTCTTTTCAAACCCTTGTAAAGTGGAGAGAAAGAAATTTAAGAAGCAGAATAGGCTAATGTAATAATCCTGCTGTGATGCTACACAGCTGTGCATATACATTTGTTTCATTAAGTCATCATGAATAGAAATGCTCCATAAATAGCCCTGTGTTAGATTTTATTTAATTTTAATGTTTCTCTTCAATTGCCAAAAAATATAAACTCACTCTTCTGATGCCATGTTGTGAGCGTCTTCAGTCAGTCCGGTTGGTCTCTGACCTGCCAGACACAGAAATGTTGCAATTGAAAATAAAGAAAATATATGTTTGGTGAGGACTGCCTCTTTTATGAAAGTGACTGCAAAATATGACGTTATTTTTTATTCACAAGTGAAAAATGACCTGTCTCCGCCTTGTCTTCCTCTCGGGAGAGATGATTTCCTGTCTGATTTTCCGACTCTTTCAGTTGGCTGTTGACGTTTCCTCCAGAGCTTCTTTTGCTCTAAAGATCGGGGGAAAAAAGGATCAGATTTAGGTTATTACGGCTTTTTAAATATCACCTAAGTACACGCTGGTGACTTACTTTTGTCGCTTGATATTTAGACTGGAGTCACAGAAATACTCCGATCTGATTCAAATACTGATCTTATAGAGTGTTACCAGAGAAAGTAGAAACATTTAAAACACTATAAATATAAATAAATATATATACTATGATCATGGAATAGTAATTTACAAATTGTGTTTTAGTATAACCTGTGTCATGTGAACTACCACTGTCCCAAGACATTATAAACATGTTTTAACAGGTTAAACCATAATGCTAAATGATAAATAAAATCTCACCATATGTTTGGTCGCAGTGTTAGGGGAATCTCCGTGTCTCTGTGTTATGTATCTCCATGTTATGTTTATTTCTAGAAGTTATTTAGGTATTAAATGTTTCGTACACTTTCCTTTAACCTGGCTAATCTGCCTACATTTCCCACAAAACCTCTGGGCACTTCAAAATTGACATGCACAACAAAATGAAGTAAGAAGCCTATCACTGATAGCTGTATTTTAGTGTGGATTTTCCCTATAGCTGAGACCTGTGACGTGTGTTTCACCTGTGCTCTCGTCTCCAGCTGCTGTATCGTCACCATCATGTCCAACTCCTCATCTTCCTCCTCATCCTCATCCTCTCCTCTCTGCTGAATCTCCTGCAGCCTCTTCTGAAACTGCCACTCCAGGCTGAGTTTTCGGAGTCGGTCGTTCTCCACCGCAGAGCGCTTCACTTTAGCCTGGAGCTCCTGCACCTCCTGCTCCAGGAGCTCCACCGCCTGAAGCCTCTGCTGCTTCTCCAGCTTCTCCTGGGCCTCCCTCCTCCACGGGTCAGACAGCTCCTGGGGGTCTGTCTGCTTCATAGGGCCCGTGCGCTGCTTCTGTTGAGTGGGAGGCTCTTGGAAGGAAACATGTTTTGTTGGAGTGATGCTTACTTGGGGTTTTACTGCTTGACCCCTGAATATGCTGGGTCGTTGCTGCTGTGATGAAAGCGAGGGCTGAGGTAGCTTCTTCATTGCAGAAATGGGACATGCATAAATATGGTTAGCTTGGTTTTGTTCATGTCCATTTACTTTAAGAGTTTGGCTCATCTTCAGTGACAGCAAAGACGAACTCTGGAAGGTGATGAGAGGAGGATTTGACTGTGTGTTCACTGCTCTGGTTACAGGGATGTCTATACGTATGGGCTGAACCGAAGGCGTAGGTGTTGGATGTTGTGAAAACGGGGCTCTCCAGACACCGGCGCCACTTGTGAGAGCGCCCTGCTGTCGTTTTTTGGGAGAAGTGTTATCAGAGAGGATGTCGTGAATAGAAACACTGGAGCGAATTGGGAAAGATGAATAGTGGCTCATGGTTTGATTTGCACTCCGCTCCTGCTGCTCCCACGTGTTCTGCCTTTTGTCCAGCAGGGGGCCTCCACCATCCATACACAAGTTTTCCTGTGAGCGTGCTTGACGCTAGAGGAGTAAATACAAAGGTTTTAGTAATATTAACCTAGTTCTCCTTATCACTCTATGAACACTAAGTCAATTTTCCTTTGTTTCCTGTTCAGCAAATACAACATATAATGATATATGACATTTTTAGAGTCTGAAGAATGTCAAGATTTACCATTAAGGTCTTCTTATTGGAGCTCTGTCCATCCAAAGGTCTCAGAGACACTTTCAGTGTTTGCTGTTGTCGACTGGATTCAGATACGTTCTTGTCCTGGGATTTAGGGGTAGGAAGTGTCAAGTATTCCCTGTGAAATGTCTGAATAGGAGACAAAAAAAGTGTTTTTTGTGTCATAAATTCATTCAAAAGCTGCAGATTTTTGTTACTATTCAATATTTCCCTCCAGTTTGGGTGTTAAGCTGACACAGTTTTCTAATGTGGCCAAGAAATTGGGTGGGGAAAAAACATTATTTTAACAGATATTCAAACTATTGTGGGAATGCCTATATAAGCCCAGGGCAAATAAAGTAATAATACAAGCATTTTAAATGAAAATGTGGAGAAACTGTAAAGAAATATCAGATTTTCCCTTTTTTCAGAGCGAAATCACTTTTGTCAGTGTCAATAAAAGTTCCTGATTATATTTCTAGTAAGTGTGTAGCCTTTACCACAAAGGTTAAAAAAAAAGGTCTACTATCTAACAAATATCTCACATCAGTGCAAAGGTTGATACTTGAAACAGCAGCGATGTTGCTCCCTCTCACAACAGGGTCAACAGGTTCGTCTCCATCCTCCAGGCAAAGGTCTGCTGAAATAAGGAGAAAAAATAAACACACAGGAGTCGTTCTTATGACTCACCCTCAAGCATTAAACATATTTCACATTAAGGCATTTACTGTATGTGCCCGGGAGCAATAAGTGGTCAAAATAGAAGTGCACCCACTGGTCATGTTGGGGTTGGACCGATAAAGCTGCCTGTTTCTCTGCATTATCTGCTCTTTCTTCCTTTTGCTGCTTCCGTGGAGCTGTTCTGAGGGACCAGCGTCCACCACACTGTACAGCATGAGCTCTTTACCGCTCTTTAGCTCTTCAGCATTGCTTTTATCACCTTGTGAAGCAAGAAAAGGAGAAGTCTTAATTAGGTCACAAAGGACAGATAGTGAAATAAAAAATATTTTTATGTTTACTTGGTTCTTACTTGCAGTCCTCTCTGGACCTGGTTCGCTCAGCAGAGCCTCCAGGCCGTGGTAGCTCGCTCCAAACTTTTCAACCTGTAAGGTCACAACAGGGCCGGTTTGCACCATGATAGTTGCTGCCCTAAATCAATACAAAATTATTAAAGTCAACATCCATTCCATTGTCTTATTAAACTGTTAGCAACACAACCTGTCTTTAATTTAAAAACTATGGGGACCATCTCACAAAAACACACTGTTGTGTAGCTACCTTTCTTGGCTTAGGCCGACCAGGCTTCGACCATCCACACTGAGCAGCTGGTCCCCAGCTGTTAACCTGCCATTCTGCACACAGTAGAGACACACAAGATTTATTTCAAGCTTTCCTTGTGTAGTTTCATTAAAATTATTCTGCTGTGTTTTCTATTCACACGTCAAGTTAAGCTGAATTAAAAATGTGTGAGATCTCACCATTTCAGCTGGTCCTCCCCTGACAATAGATTTGATATAAATCCCAAGGTTACCCTGCCGTGCTCCCTGTGGCAAAACAAGAGGGAGGGTGTTAATTAGCTGAGACATCTAGCAGATAGTTTCTGTGTTTGAATAGTTCCAGTTAGTGAGCACATCACAATTAGGGAAAAAATATTTAGTCAAATTTGAGGTAGTCACCTTGGCAGCCACGATGCTGATCCCCATACCGCTGTTGAGAGGTTTGTTCAGTGTGATAGTCACAATCTCTGGCTCTCTGTGTGCTGCTTTCTGAAGAAAAAGAATTAAACGTATGACTGCTGCATAAATGCTTGATTTTATCTTGAAATTAAATTCTATGTCAACACATCTGGGGCACTGAGTATTTACCAAGTATGTGCTCTCTACAGAGGGTGTAGACTCAGTGAAATATACGGTCCAGTCACCTTTGGAGTTTGGCTGGGATGTTAAAGAGCAGAGTCCTGGAAGAGAAAGATTTCATCCAGTACAAATACCTGACAAATAACCTATTCTAGGTGTGTTTATCTTATCTTTACAATACAGCCCTGGGATATCATTTTTGGATTTTGACATTTTTTTAAAATATGAAAGAATATTTAGTGTGCCATACCTTTTTGGCAAATTGGCTCCAAAAACTCCCTAAACCCTGGAGGGATTCCTCTCACAGTGTCACAAGAGTATCCTCCCTCTGGCAGCAGGAAGGGGAGGTGGAGGTCAAGGCTCTCCTCCAGCTGGATGTCCCGTCCTTCACTCCGAATCAGGTTGTCTGCTGAGGCCTGAGCAGCCGTCACTACAGCATCGATCAAATCCTGCAGCGAGGACGACAAGTGGATCAGACAGCGGAAATATTTCAGGAAAAGGTCGTTCTAGTATATAGATTGACATTTGTCATTCTGTGACAAGGCTCCAATCTGCCTGCTGTGACCCTGAGCAATGCTGAAGACCTCCCTGCAGACCCTGCAGATGACCCTGAACTCTGTCAGTGGAGACAGATTGTTGATAATTCTTATATACTTTTAATCAAGTAAGATTTTGAGTGCATGATTTGTAATGCTTTTAGTGACTTCAGTAAAGACCTAAATACTTCTTTAACCACTGGCAGAGGAAGAAGCTGTTATAATGACTGGAATTAGTTGGTGTCGTCATGGTAACAGCAGTAATAGCTGTCATGGTAACAGCAGTTGAAGCAGTTCCCATTTGCTTTATTCATATTTTGGGGTTTCAACTCCACATATAGCTAGCAATTTAGTTGCAGTAATACTTGCAGTGTACACTTTAGTTTCACTACTTTAATAAAGCATGCAACATAAAGATTATAGTACTGATAAATCCATAAACACAAAAACAGATCACACTTATCTCCAGAACTTCTTTGTAAAAGCTCAAATAAATCAAATTTGAACTTAATTTCTCTAAGGTTCAGTATCCTCCTCAGCATAATATTTCTGACAGTAATGTTCTAACGTTTCTTCAGGTTCACAAACTGGGGGCTGTATTTTTGAGAGCGTTACTGTTGGACCAATGTTTATTTCAGATAATCCTTGTTACTTTCTAATCAGTACTCATGGTAATTCAAACAGTAACGAATTTAGCCGTTTTTCAGTAAAGGCGGGATATTTAAATTGACAAAGCCACGCCCACTGCTGCTGCCGATGTCCCAGACTGTTTTCGTTCGTTTGCGTTAGC